GTTAAGTATGAACATCAACATTTGGATGTATATACGTATAACTGAGGAGTCTCAAATAGAACGAAACGCGTATCATATGTTTCATTGTTGGCTATGATCTCAAAGTATGCTAAAGAATAAGTGTCTCGGATTGACTGAACTAATTGTTCAGTGTGATACAATTACATATTGATCAAAGTGTTATTTGATTTAGTAGTACTATTCGGTAAACAATCGCTATTCTACTTAGGTATTCGGTTTTTAGGCCAGTTTTTATTGGGCTTAATAATACTACTTAACTATCCGGATCAAAAACATCTGATTGCGGATTCGACACTGTACCAAACAAAACATTGTTGTAACATTTATGATTAATAAATGTTTGATATGTAGTTAGTACTCATCACAGATTGGTTTCATTTAATGTGAAATTAGAAACCAGGTAGTACTGTAGTGTTGAAGAACACAGGTGAAGACAACCGATTATATTTAGCACAAAATTACAGAATTACCTGATAAAATAAGAAAATTATACTCTAATACTTCATTTGCAGAATGTTTATTAATTGTCTCAGACTTCATTGTTTCTGCATTTCCATACCAATTGCTTTCTGTTCTCATTCTTCCCTCCTCGATATTCTCAACCTTCTGCTGCCAGAAACCCTGTTCCTAAATAGCGTTATATACTACTTATGTTGACATATGTTCACCAACAGTATGTACCCACTACTACACCAAGTACCGAAACCATGATGTGCAAGTCTCCAAATTTAATCGATCACCAAAAAATCCCGAGAATTAAATGTTTAATATATTTTGACAGTAATAGTAATCGAGTCAATTATCAGTTAAAATGTGACCTACATAACTACGGAATGACATTTTTTAAAAAATTGTAAACATATTAAAGTTATGCATTTGTTTGCCTAAAGTACTTTGTATTTCTCCCGTACACATTTTTCTCTGAAGATCGTCTATATTGTTTAAATTTATCAAGCTTTTTTTTTGTAAACATTTAGACAAATATATTGATTTCAATTTTCTGTCTAGATTATTTCCGCTAAAACTGAAGCTATTAGATTTATCATAATTTCCTAGATATCTAGATTTTTTATTTTCAGTTGTAAATTGTTAATGAAAAATTTGTACTAAAAATTTTCCGTTTCAAGCAAGCGGTCTGAAGTTTATAAGCACTCACTGTCAGAAGAAATGAATGTCCTTGGTTAGATCCACTTACTGGGGTTGTAGATGCGCACCACTGAGGAGTCTCGTAATAGAATAAAACAGCTGTTCAATATTTCCTGGTTTTCAGTGGTTGTGTAGTTAGGGTCAGTTAGTAAAAACTTTCTTTTTTCGTCTAGTTTGTTGGAGTGGTGTCTCAGTAGTTAAGATATTCAACTTTCAGCCACCAATTAGTGGATTTGAATCCCGTTTAACCTAATTCAGTTTGGGTAACCAGGTAGTGCTACATGCATTCACATTTTCAATAAGGCTTGATGCCACTATTTGGGTTAATGGACTTTATGTAACATTATCTGTTGCATTATTCCTTCTTATGCAATAATACTTATTGAGCCTTGTTGTGTGTTTTACTTTTTTTGTCTCAATGTAGACAAATTACTTAAGAATGGTGATTACACAGGATGATGTTGGAGTTGAATTATGTGGCGGTATCAAACATGTTGTAGCAATCGCTGCAGGTATCTGTGATGGTCTAAAGCTAGGAGATAACACCAAATCTGCTGTACTTCGTATTGGATTCTGGGAAATGTCTGAACTGATGAAAGAGCTATTCCCCGATAGAGGTTTGTTTTCGTGTAGTTGGCTGATAGTTAACTATGATAATTGTTTTTAGACTATATGTTCGTTTTATAAGCAAAGATGCACGGTGGCTAGCAGTGAAATCCAGAACGCGCGTCTCGTCCACTGCTAGCTACTATCCATCTTTGCTTGTAAAGCTTGTGAAAACGCAATATCGAGGCAGTCCGCACATGATGCATGTATGCCAACAAGTGACCGATCGAAGCTGCTACCTTGACGCGGTGGTCGGGCTTGCCTATCGTGATGACCCAACCGAGCTATATTGGCTGGAACATATGTTCCTGAAGGTTCTACCATGCCAGGCAGGTCGATTGGCGAACGGTAAGACTAAAAGCAGCAACTCAAGGTCTGAGGGCGAAGTCGTACTGCTGACTGTAGAGAGGTGTGACAGCAGTAAGGTGTTTCCCTCGGACAACCAGCATGACAGTGATGCTGCCTTCCCACAAGGAGGGGTGGGGTTAGAAAAGGTCGACCCTAAAAATGCACACCTCACCTTACCTCACGGATTTCCGTCTCCGGCGGTAAGGCCACTTGAAGAACGGAGCTAACACGTCGAAAACCTTCCACAAAAAGGCCGTGCGCGACCGGCTCAAAGAACAGATAATGGCGACCGTCTGTTGCAGCTATGCTCAGATAACCGCCTGTTCCTTGCAAATACTAACTTTAAGCATAAGGAAAAACATCTTTTAACATGGCGACCCCCTAATTCGTCCCAACGTTGGACCCAAATAGATCACATCGCTATCAGCCACCGATGGAGGGGCTCGATAGAAGACTGTCGCTCATTCTGGAGCACATGCCTAGATTCAGATCATGCTCTAGTGCGAGCGCGTATTTGCTTGCGTCTTACTGGACGTAGGAAAGATCCTGCAAGGAAACCTCTTAGGGCCCTACTTAATGATAGTCAAGCTAAGAGTATATTTCAGGAACAACTAGGAAAACAGTTAGGCAGCCATGTATGTGATGCCCACCCCGATGCAGCATGGAATGATATCCGAAAAGCTGTGGAAACAGCAGTGATATCTGCTAGTAAGGTAAACCAGAAGGTTAGGGAGCAACACTGGATCTCAGCAGCATCTATCTCACTGATAAATGCTCGGAAACACATTCCACCTGGCTCTGAACATAATGAAGAGCGGAGTCAGCTTAAGCGCAAGCTGACAAGAAGTCTACGCAATGATCGCGAACAGTGGTGGGTAGCGAAAGCAAGAGAGATGGAAAAGGCAGCGGCAATAGGTAATAGCAGACAATTGTTTAGACTCGTTAAGGAAACCGGAATTAGGAACCCGACCGTTAGCGAAACAATCTCAGAGAAAGATGGACATATTATTCATTCTCAATCCAGGAGATTGGACCGATGGGCAGAACACTTTAGGGATCAGTTCAACTGGCCTTCAGCCACACTTCGGTTTCCCACGATCTCCAGTCAACCTGAATGGCAAGTTAATGTAAGTCCTCCGTCCCTTTACGAAGTTGGAAAAGCCATAGGAAATCTGAAGCGAGGGAGAGCAGCAGGCCCTGACAGGTTTACTCCTGAGATTTTTAAGGATGGTGGTCCAGTATTAGCAATGAGATTAACCGAGGTCTTAGGTAGAATTTGGGAACTGGACGTAATCCCATCTGACTGGTCTCAATCACTGATTGTGCCAGTCTATAAGAAAGGACAAAAGTCCTCTTGTGACAATCACAGAGGAATCAGTTTGACTAATATAGTGTCTAAAATATTAGCCTCAATAATACTTCGACGCTTAACTAAAGCTCGTGAAGAGCAGACTAGAGAAAACCAGGCTGGTTTTCGACCTGGACGTGGTTGTATAGATCAGATATTCACACTACGTCAGGTTCTAGAACACATACACACATTCAGACGCCCCACAATGGTAGTATTTCTCAACCTTAAGGCGGCATTCGACGCTATTGATCGTCAGTCAGTCAGTCAGTCAGCTACAACGTAGGACCAGGCACATATGTGCATCGGTCCAGGTTGCCATACCGCATCAGCACAACAAGATGAACACCGGATTCATAGGAGTGGTTAGGTCAAAGGTTGCAATAAGAATATAGTATAGGAAGGAAGAATTAGTTCGTAGAAAGAAAGATATGAAGTGATTTTAATCTCTTAGTTTAAGGGAAGACAGGGAGTGTATACACCGACGCCATTGTGATCGATTCTGAGCCATGTCACCAAGAGTCTCCAACCATTGGTTACGATAGTCACGCGGACCCCAACCAAGTAGTCTGCATCTACCAACATGGCTCAGACTAGAAGTTAGTGTCTTCAAGCACTGATGCCACGTTTTGGTTTGGCCGCCCCTAACTTTCTTCCAACCATCTCCTACACCGGTTAGCATTGCACGTCGTGGTAATTGGTGTTCAAGTATACGTAATACGTGGCCCAACCATCTCAGTCGATGAAGATTCATAACCTCATCAATTGATTTACCATCATTCCCTAATACCCTGCGTCTAACCTCACTATTACTTACCCGGTGATCCCAGCAGATGCCAGCAATATTTCTAAGGCATCTGTGGTCAAATACTTGTAGCTTAAGGGTGTCTTATACTCTTAAAGGCCATGTTTCGCTGCCGTAAAGTAAGACAGAATGGACTGCCGCGCAGTATACTCGTCCTTTTATTGATAGACGGATACCTCGCCTTCGTCATAGGTGACATAAGTTGGCAAAAGCCAAGCGAGCTCTTCGAATCCGTGCTGAGATTTCGTCAAACACCAACCCATTAGGGCTGATCAGACTTCCAAGATAAGTGAAGTTGTCGACGCGTTCGACTACTTCACTCCCTATCCTTAGTTCAGGTGTTGACGCAGACCAGTCCTGAAGCAACAACTTGCATTTAGAGGGAGAGAAGCGCATCCCAAACATTCTGGCATTGTTGCTTAGTGCTACCAGAAGACTCTGCATTTTGTCAGCGTCTTCACCAAACAGGACTATATCATCTGCGTATTCTAAGTCGATAAGTGGACCTCTTGGAAGGAGATCAATACCCGAGAATTCAGTCGACGAGAGTGTTATTTCCATCAATAGGTCTATGATGAAGTTAAACAAAAATGGAGAAAGTGGACAGCCCTGACGGACACCACTTGAAGTTGCAAAAGTAGATGACAGTTCGCCATAAGCCCTGACTCGACTAGTAGTGTTCGAGTAAAGAGCCTTCACAAGGTTTATGTACTTCTGAGGTACGCCTTTCAATGACAGACACTGCCACAGAGTCTCGCGGTCTACAGAGTCAAACGCTGCTTTTAAGTCAAGAAAGACCACCATCGTCGGACGCCGATAGGTATGCCTGTGTTCTAGAACCTGACGAATGGTGAATATGTGGTCGATGCAGCCACGACCAGGTCTAAAGCCAGCTTGGTTCTCTCGAGTTTGTAGTTCACGAGTCTTAGTTAGGCGTCTGATAATTATCGAGGCCAGTATTTTAGATACTATGTTTGTTAAACTAATCCCTCTGTGGTTGTCACAGGATGATTTTGACCCTTTCTTATATATTGGGACGATGAGTGATTGCGACCAGTCAGATGGGATAAAGTCTAATTCCCAGATCTTAGCTAAAATATTAGTCAACCTAATCGCTAAAATTGGACCACCATCCTTAAAGACCTCTGGAGCCAATCCATCTGGACCAGCTGCCCTTCCTCGTTTCAGATTAACTATAGCCTTTTGAACTTCAGCAAGAGTTGGGGGACCTACTTCAATGTTCCATTCACATTGTCTGGGAATGGAGGGTAGTTGTAGAGTAGCTGAAGGCCAGCTGAACTGTTCTGTAAAATGTTCCGCCCATCGTTCTAAACGTCTGGACTGGGAGCAGATGAGAGTATCATCTTTTCCCGAAATAATCTCACTTACACTTGACTTATTAATTCCAGTTTCTTTTATTAGTCTGTAAAGCTGTCTTGTGTTCCCTATAGTCGCCGCCTTTTCCATCTCTTTTGCTTTCGTTACCCACCACTGCTCACGGTCGTTCCTTAGACTTTTTCTTAACCTAGATCTGATTTGTTTTCGCTCTTCATCATGTTCAGAACCTGATGGGACGAGTTTGCGAGAATCCATCAGTGTGACAGACCTTGAAGAAATCCACTGGTTCCTTGCAACTCTGTGGTTTAAGTCACTAATAGATGTCACTGCTGTTTCCACAGCTGATTGTATGCTCTTCCAAGCAACATCTGGGTCAGCCTCGTCTTCACAACTACCTAAGTGTGACCTCAGTTGTTCCTGGAACCTACTTTTGGTTTTCTCGTTACTCAACTCAGTTCTAACGGGTCTTTTTAATGTGGCTTTTTTGCGTCCAGTGAGGCGCAAGCAGATGCGTGCCCGTATTAGGGCATGGTCGGAGTCCAAGCAGGTACTCCAGAATGAGCGACAATCTTCTACCGACCCTCTCCAACGATGACTGATGGCAATATGGTCTATTTGAGTCCATCGTTGGTTTGGTGTAGGGGGTCGCCATGTTAGACGATGTCTCTCCTTATGCTTAAAATTTGTGTTTGCTAAAAATAAACGATTGTCTGAGCATAGCTGCAGCAGACGATCATCATTATCTGTCCGCTGTGTCGGAATACTAAAATATCCACCTAAATGCCTTTCTGTTTGGTTTAAGCTACCTATCTGAGCATTAAAATCACCTGCTACGAGTACTATGTCTGAGCGTTTAGCTTTCTGAAGAAGTTCAGAAAGCTTTCTGTAAAATTCATCTTTCATTTCATCTGAGCTGCAGTCAGTGGGAGCGTAGACAGAAACGACAAAAAGGCAACGACGTGTGTCCCTATCCTTCCGAGTTCTTACGTAGCCGTTCAGCCGAACAGCACACAGACGACTGTTGACGGGGATCCACTCTAACAGTGCTTGTTCGGCTATCATGCTTAGTGCTATGCCTACACCTGCCAGTCCACGAGAACTGGCCATCGGGTCACCAGATACACGAAGGGTGTATCTCGTTGGCTCTCCGTTTTGCCGAGGTGAGGTCAAGTGAATGACCACACTGGGATCCTGTATGCGTGTTTCAGAGACACAGCATACATCAATGGAAAGAGACTCTAGGGTTTTAGCCAAGGAAGCCTGCTGACCGATTTGACATAGAGTGCGTACGTTGAAAGCTCCAATGTGTAGTTTGGAGCGAGGTTTCAGTAGACCTGGGACAGAGTTTTGAGCACTAGAATCGTTGGCTATGGTGACACTTGAGGAGGAAGCCGAAGGAGGAAGTTTAGGGTTGAAAGTCGATGTAGGAGGAATAATAGGAATTGAAGAGGAAGGTTGATTATGAATACAGTGGTCTTGGGTGCTGTTAGAGGTATGAGGGCGGTTATCACTTCCCAGTTGCCCACATCGTGGAAGGGTTCTTCTGGAGGTACCTGAAAAGGAAATTGGATTAGAGGTGGTCTCAGTGACCTGAGAGCGTGACCGCAGTGCCCAAGGGACAACTGCTTGAGGCCGGTCGCGCACGGCCTTTTCGTGGAAGGTTTTCGACGTGTTAGCTCCGTTCTTCAAAGGGCCTTAACGCCGGAGACGGAAATCCGTGAGGTAAGGTGAGGTGTGCATTTTTAGGGTCGACCTTTTCTAACCCCACCCCTCCTTGTGGGAAGGCAGCATCGCTGTCATGCTGGTTGTCTGAAGGAAACACCTTACTGCTGTCACACCTCTCTACAGTCAGCAGTACGACTTCGCCTTCGGACCTTGGGTTTGTTGCTTTTAGTCTTACCGCTCTTCAACCGACCTGTCTGACATGGTAGGACCTTGAGGAACGGTTGTTCCAGCCAGTATAGCTCGGTTGCTTCATCACGATAGGCAAGCCCGACCACCACGTCAAGGTAGCAACAACGATCGTGAGGTTCTATGGCAGTGTTTGTCACTGAAAGGAGTACCAAAGAAGTACTTTAACCTTATAAAGGCTCTCTACTCGAACACAACTGGTAGAGTGAGAGCTTATGGCGAACTGTCATCCGAATTGATCACCTCAAGTGGTGTTCTTCAGGGCTGTCCACTCTCCCCATTCTTGTTCAACTTTGTAGTCGACGTACTTTTAGAGATAACACTCTCCTCATCTAAATTTCCAGGGGTTGAACTTCTACCGGAAGGTTCACTTGTTGACTTAGAATATGCAGATGACATAGTTTTATTTGGTGAAGACGCTGACAAAATGCAGTCTTCTGACCACTCTAAGCAACAATGCAAGCATGTTCGGGATGCGATTCTCTCCCTCGAAATGCAAAATGTTGCTTCAGGATTGGGTTACATCGACAGCCGAACTAGTGATAGGGAGTGAAGTAGTTGAGTGTGTCGACCGCTTCACTTATCTTGGAAGTCTCATCAGCCCTAGTGGTTTAGTGTGTGACGAAATCTCAGCACGGATACAGAAGGCTCGACTAGCTTTTGCCAACTTGCGTCATTTATGGCGTAGGCGAGATATCCGTTTATCAACCAAAGGACGTGTTTACTGCGCAGCAGTTCGTTCCGTCCTACTTTATGGCAGTGAAACATGGCCGGTAAGAGTAGAGGATATCCGTAGGTTACTAGTATTTGATCATAGGTGTCTTCGAAACATTGCTCGTATATCTTGGGACCATCGAGTAAGTACCACAGTTGTTAGGAAACGGGTACGAGGTAAGGGTGGCAAATCGGTTGATGAAGTAGTGAAACTTCATCAGTTGAGATGGCTGGGACACGTGTTACGTATGCCCAACGACCGACTGCCTCGACGTGCTATGTTCAGTGGTATAGCAGTAGGTTGGAAGAAAGCTAGGGGCGGCCAAACCAAAGCATGGCACAAGTCCATGAAGTCACTGACAAGTGAACTGAGTCATATTGGTAGGTGTAGACTACCTGCTTGGGGACCGCGAGATGACAGCAACCGATGGTTAGAGACCCTGAATGACATGGCTCAAAATCGTTTGCAATGGCGCAGGTGCATCCACTCTCTGTGTTCTCCCAAATTCTAATCTTCTGAATTCTTCATGTCCCTTTTTTCCTCTTTCCAAATTTCTTTCACTGGATTATACTCTTTAAATAACATCTCCAAACCCTAATCTTCCCAATTACTGCTTATACTCTTATTACCTCTACCACTACGGGATTTGAATCGACAAGTGCATCTCTGTGCTAATGTGGTGTGGCAACTCGAACTGATGTACGTACGTACGAAGTTCTACGTTGTTACTGACTGACTGACTGATCAATTGCAGGCCTTAACAACAATGAGAAGAAGCAAGCAAATAATACCAAGTGAATTTCTGTTCGTCTAGTGAATAACCTTTGATATGATTACTCTTTTTTAGGATGTTCCATGTTTTTAACATATCAATCGATCTAATCGCATGATTTTAAATATCTCATCTAGAAAGTCTTGACGTATCTAATAGTTATAACCGTAACACAATTTCATTTTATTCCTTATCGCCACATTACGGATGCATCGTCTCTTCGCTTTATGTAGCGATTTCTAATAGTAATATATTTCTGCCTTTTTAGCTCCTACTTGGATAGTACATATAACATACGTTCAATCCATCAAAATGGATGTTTTTGGATGATTTGATTTGCACTCAAATATAATTTCCACCACTTTCATATACCACCAGCTCTTATGGTCTGTTTTCATTGAATTTGTGAAATCTTGTTTTGACTTCAATAACCAGAAGTGACGATCAGTTAATAAATATCATGCATTTTGCAACACGCTGAGTAGTGGTTATTAGGAGTAACTGTTAACTCCTTGTTCTCAGTTTTACAATTTGAAATCCTAATTTTATGTGACATCATCCTATTGTCGGACTAAAATTCTTATTCTTCACAATTAACTTGCACTTTATTTTATTGTCTACCTTAATTTTTATTCTGTTATTATGTTTAATGTTTCCTAAGACCAGTTACAAACTATTTATGTCGATGTATTATTTTTATATTAATAATATGAACTTTGTAGCGAAATATCAGTCTTACAGTCTGTTTATTATGAACTTGTATTAGCTAGTATTGCTGCCTGATTGTCTCTTTGCTTAACTAGGTTCGTATAAGTCGTTGAGTCAGTGTTCTGACTCTGAATTTTTGGCCATCTAGAAAGTTACATATGATGTGTTAAATACTATTCTTTTTATGTTACATAGTTTAAAACTTTTTCCAAGTTCATAGCGTTGCTACAAATTCTCAGTCATTTCCTAGTCAATTGGAGAACGTCTCTTACAGGTGGATAGTTTACGGGAAAAAAATCCCATAATGTTAAGAAGTGTGAACAGATTTACATAATTAATGGATTGTTTAACGTCTTCCATCGTTTACTCTGCCTACCAATTAAAAAACGACATAAGGTCGTCGTTATGTATGCATAGGTTATTCGTCTTCTCGAACCCTTAGAAAAACAAACAGATCTTTCAGAATCCCCACATCATTCTTAGGATTAGAGTTTCCGTCGCAAAATGATATCAGGTATGATGAGGAAGTGGCATGCAACCATATGGATGAGTGGATTACGCGCGAAATCTCCGAGTGACGTTATCTGATCAGTTCGTTAATAAAATATAAGGGCACTAAGTAAAGGTTTTGTTTGTTAAGTGTTTAGGAATAGCGTCAATTTGTCTCTTATACATATTCTACAAAGACAGAATTTAGCATTTGATATATTTAGCACTATCAGTTTTACTCAATGGTGACAAAAAAACAATTTTCCACTATCATTTGAAACGTTTTGATCAGCATACAAAGGTATTTTTAATACTCGTTATATGTGATATTTCAATTTCACACAATAACCTAAAAATCGTATTCTGAATTTTGACCGCCTCGTCCTTATACATTAGTTTTACTTATAATGTCCGGTAATCTGTTATGTCCTGATAAGAATAATGAGTGGTAATTTTTGGGATCCATTGTGGACCAATACTAAACGTATATTTTTATTGTATAATTGTTAAATAACTAAACTATTCATATTCATATTCCTCTCATTATAAGCTTTATTTCGACTTATGAACCATTATTATACGTTTTACCATTCTTGAATTATGCCCTGTCTATTAGTCACTGCCTCCCACATTTGGCCAAATTTTGTACAAATGTTATTTTCTACTTTATGGTACGTTGTGGTCTGTTTGAT